ATGCACTGTTTTAAAAGCAAACTCCTTGGCACAAACATTTGTTTGCCCGGGATGCCATCACCCGTTCAAGACATTCGAGATAAAGTTTTCAATCTCTGTCTGAGGAAGAAGTGACTGCTATTCAATCCACAGGAGTACTTTCTCAGTGTCAAAAGATGCTATTAACACTGAGCTGGCATCATTTTTCATCTTAAAGAGGATATTAAATAATCACGGTAAATTCATACAGGTGAGCCTACATGTAGTAGCCATAAAACAGCACATTGTTCGGGTTGAATTCTTTTATTAATGCTTATTCTGTGAGACAATTGGCCAATAACTTTGTCAAATTGTTGATATCTATATTGAGGAGGGCCATGAAGTTGAGGTCTATGGTCCCCACTATGATAAAATCAGGTCCAATTTTTTTCTTCTGCCACTATCAGTGGACACATTGGAATTTGGACAGAGACCCTTGAGTTTTGTCCTTAGATGTCCCTTTCAAACAACCCAGGGCTACTCATCCCTAGTAGCTGGTCATTACCCTTTATTCACCTCTAAACAGAAAGATCTTTTTGAGCACAGGCATTTGCTCAGTCTGGTTAGAAACTCTATAATAAGAGAGGGAAGAACAAAAAGGTGAGGTGTCTTCAAATCAGAGATCCTACTGAGAAGATTCATAGATTAGGGTGGTGATTAGACTGGATGATCCCCAAGGTCCCTTCAAACTTTCTAATCCTCTGGTTTACTACCATGACATATGTCTCTGCCATGGTCTGCAGATTGATTACAGCTGAATGAAACCCATAGAGGTTTGCTGCAGAATAATCTACGCTTCTGAGTCTCACTGCAAAGCATTCCTGCCCCTCCTGACCCACTCTGCCCTCCATCCCAAATGGCTGTGCTATGACTTTCTGAGACTTCCCTAAGCCAAGAGAGGTTAGACAGAGGATGGCAGAGGATTTCCCAGGCCATTTAATTCCTCCCACCCCCAAATTCCTCCTTCTGTTTGAAATCCCTATAACTGGCTGCAAAGCTAGAAAGTGTCCAGCAGAGCAGCCCATGGATCCTGCTGGAATGTTCTTCTCAGTGTAGTGTAGAGTGAGGGCCATGAATTTATAGTCCTGGGTATGAATCCTGGTAGAATCTTAGCCAAATTGACTAACCTGTCTGAGAGTCAGTGCTGTCATCTAGAAAACTGAATACAAATATTTACCTAGTGGGGTGAATGAAGAGTTAAAACAGGTGATACATGAGGCTTGCATTGAAGTTCAGTTTCAGCCCTGGGGCCTAGCCAAAATCTGGCACTCGACTTCAGCTTGGCCTTGATCTTTAGAAGGTATCATAGACAATTTACCTACTTCATCATCATTTCTGGCATCCCCCACCTTGAGAGTGATCAATGATTGTGGGTTCTTATCAGTTACACAAGATCAATATGACACACAAGATAGGTAATAAGAGGAAGGAATTCTATCCAGACTTGTCATTAATGTATGAATATTCACCTTCTAGTAGAGGTAAATTATTTCTGACTCTGCTTTACTTTTCTATCTTGTCCTTATGACTACGTGACTGAATAATATGGTATCATTTATGTGCTTTCTAGATATTTTCTGTCTCCTAACAAGTAAGTAAGCTACACCAGGGCAGGAATTTCATTTGTTTTGTTTGCTGCAGTATCCCAAATGCCTAGTACAGTGCCAACCCCTTCATAGGTATGCAATAAATTATTGTTGAGTAAATGAACATGCAGCAGTTTCTAATCTCTATCCTCCCTCATACTCAGGTCTGCAAGAACAATCATTTTCTTTATTTTTCTGTAACTGAACTGAGCTGCTCTTCACCTTACTGGCAGTGTGGGATTCAGCTCCATTTTTCCACGGTGGGATCACTCATTGTCCCTATGGTCCAGGGCCTTACACAGTATCAAGGTGTTTGAGGGTGAGCACCACATCCTCATAGTCATAACTCCATGTTAAGACCCACAGAAATATGCCCTCTGATCACCTTGAGTTATTCCTCCTACTCCCTCAGATATCTATGGATTGAGAGGTCCTCTCGCTGCTACTCCTAGCCACTCTTGGACACACTGGAATCATTTTGCAGTCCCCATGCCATACTGGAACTCAAGGGAATTCTGAGTATCTAAGGTCCGTTCTGCCGAGACATAATACAGTCACTTCTCTTCTGGAGCCTTGTTACCAACCCAGGATTCTAGCTAAGAGAGGGCTAACAAACCCTTTGTTTTTAGATCCCACAGAGCCATCTGCAGTTTCCAGTGGCTTCACCCCTTTGGTCTGGGGCTGGGCTCAGAAAGCAAGGTGCACAGAACTTCTTATGGACCCACTGGTGCTTCTTTTCTGATCAGATCCTATCTCTAGTGGCAGAATTTTTTTTCCAGTCTTCATTGGACCATCTGAGAATCTTCTCAGAGCCTATACTTTTGAAGTTCAAAAGCCAGCAAAACAATTCTCTTTTCTCTGTTCTGTGTAGCCACCTTCTTCTTCTGAGCCAGTGAACACAAACCAAATGAGTTGGTCAAAACATGGGAGAAAGGTCAGGAATAAAAGGAAATGTTAGGAGAAAACAGTTATTAGCATTTCCAAACCACCATAACATGCACACACACATGACCACAAACACTTTCATGCACGCGCTCACGCATGCACACACACACATATGGTGTAAATTTAAAAATACCAGTCCAGTTGTTTCAGTCTCTTAGTGAAAATCTCCAGCTTTCTCTTATTTGGGAAATGGTAGGTCAATTTATGTAAGAACTCTCAAACACTCTTTTTAATAAAGTTGCCTATGTAATGCCAACTATCTATACAAATAGACACAGAACCAAACTCCTAATGTCACCATATCAGGTGACAGAAGCCCTGCTCATCCTTCTCAACTGTTAACCATCACCTACTCTGAGAAGCCTTTCCTGCCCCTCTCCTCAAGAAAGTCTTCAGTCTCTCCTTAGTGTTCCTCACTGTATCCTATTGCATTAAGTCAATTAAGTTAGGCTACATGTTATAGCAAACTCAAAAGAACAGAGGCTTAAACAAAAGATGTGTTTATTCTTCCCTCATGCAACTTACATTGGAAGGTAAGACCCTCAAAGCTGGAGGTTAGCTTCACTATTACCGAGGATCTAGATTCAGTGGTAAATCTGCTTTGCCACCGCACTATTCTCTCCATGACCTACACCTCAGGTCCAAGCTGACCACTCCCACATTCCAGAAAGCAGAAAAAGAAAAGGAGGTAATAAAGGAATATTCCTTCACCTTCAGGAAACATCCCAGACATTGCACACAGAAGTTATTATCTCTCATTGGCTGTAACTTAATCACATAGGTTAGCTGAACCTCAAAAATGTGAGGTTCTTTTTTGTATGAAAATAGAGGAACAGCTAGATACCAGAAGGCATCCTTCTGGTTTCTTCTGCTCCTTCTTGTGAAATGGCTACCACACTGGTTCACCTGTCTTCTCAACCAGATAACAAGTTCCTTGAAGGAAATAAATAAATACAATAGCATCTCATCCATCTTTCTCTCCCACATTATAGCCCAGGGCCTGACCAGAGTTACATTCAATAAATGTTTATTAGTCAAGGAGAATTTGAAGCACCTCCAATGTACTAGGCATTTGATAGATATAATCTCTAGTTCTTAATTAAAATACAAAACAAAAATCAATAGAAGTGTGCTTAAGAAGAACTTGTTTCCATTGCATTTTATAAAAACTAAGAAACAGGCTCAGAAATATTAAGTAACTTACACAGATCTGAGATCCCATGAGTGGTCGACTCCAAAGTCGCACTCTTTCTACTATGTGGGCTACCCTACCTGCTACTTCTAGGGTTTCCTTCCCTGTCACTAATGTGACAATACCAAGGAGGCAACATGAGTTTATAAACCTCAGTTTAGTGACTTGTATCATGGCCACTCTGGTGGACAAAACGACTAGTAAGAGCACAATGCATCCTGGCTTTTGAAAGGGAAAGGGTGATACATGTCTTCTTTCACAATGAAAACCCTTCTCCATTTGATCTCACACATTACCATTACTCCAGTCATTCCTTCACTCCAAGCCCTACTCCACAGGTCAACTGACAAGACCAAGTTCTGCTCCACCTTGAGGACCGTTTACTGTCTTTGCATGGAGTTTTGCTCATCTAAGTATCTCGAAATAAGGAGAGACTCAGTACCTGAATCATCAAGAGTGATGCTTGTAGAGTCCATTTTTATCCATGATTTCTGCTCCACTTAGTGAGACTGATTGCTGTTCTTGACCCTTGCCATTGCTGTGATCACAAAAACAGAGATCCTCCTGGCCTCCTACCCTCCATCTTGACAGTGCCTTAAAATAACCCCCTATCTAAAAATCTCTTCCCTCAAGTTCATTGATTTATTATATTCTATTTCTATTAATATAACACTAATGATCGCCAAGTATATATAATGACATAATTATATCTTTATAAACCCTCTAACCAAATATATTTTATATGCTTATTAATTAAACTAATAAAATTCCCAATAAAATTTCATACTTATCTATATTACATATCACATCACACTATTTCTTTCTAATAGGGAAATTCTTGGATATGTTTAGCATGTGACTATACAAGTAGAATTAGTATGAAGATTAGCATGTAAGATCTTTGGATGAATGGATTAAATGGATGTCTTCAATGTCTATATTCTCTGGCCCTCTCCTTGCCAGGCATCATATCAGCTATCAGTTATTCCTCAGATCCATGTGGAATAGTCTAGCATCAGTGAACCAGGCCTTAGCTCTAAATGTTCATTGGATTATATTCAGCAGCAAATTACATTCTCTAAGAAAACAATATTATAGCCTTATGATCAGTAATGCTGTGTTCTTTTCCTTCTTTCTAAAATATATCTTTTCAAGAAAACAATTTGACTTAGGAAAAGAAGGTTTTGTTCATGTTTGGGTCCTACATTTTCTGATCAAACCAGGTGGTAACAAATGACATTTAAAAATTTTTTTCTTACCAGAATAGGAAACTGCCAAGCCAAGAGTGGACCTTTGTCATTTTCCTCAGGAAGAGTTTATGAGAGCCCTGCCATCATCTCACCAAATCTTTGATTATCACCAGCAAGGGACAAGTCCAAATACGACTGGCATCCCATCAGCACAAAGTTGAGACACAAATATCAGGTTCTGTGGATTCTGGAATAGGGCCAGAAATCTTAAATTTTAAAAGAAGAATTTGAAACTAAAAAAACAATTCTGTTTTGACAAAATTCAAGAAGTATGTGTCGAATGCCTACTACATGCTCAGAACAATACTAGGTACCAGAAGCACATTGATGGGAAGACACACATCACACTCTCAATGGGCGTACAGACTACAGAGGGAGATCGAGTTATACATAATTAGCTAATGCAAGTCATCCTATACCATACATTCCAATAAAGGAATAAGAATAATAAAAAGAACAAGAATAAAAATATAAATACAAATACAAACACAAACACAAGAAAGGCTAATATTTGCTGAGTGCTTACCATGAGCCTAAATGCATTATCTCGTTTATTCCTCATGGCAACCTATAAGGTGTAAGTCAGTACTCTCCATTTTGCAAAAAAGGAACTGCTACTGAGATGAACAGAACAAAAAATTCTGCCTTCAGGCATTGAGAAAGGCTTCATGGAGGAAGTAACATTTGTTGGGATCATCAAATCTGGTTCCTGGTACAGCCCCCAGCAGGCAGCGATGGAACTTCATAATAAAGTCACTAATAGAAATTACATACTGGGGGATTTCCGATGCAATTGCTAATGGGGAAACTGCCTATACTAGATGACTAAATATGTTGTTCTGGGTCATTAAAATTATATTATGCATATGCTGAGGTTGGGATTAGCTAAAACATTATAGAGGGCTGCTAATCTGATCACTAGACCATGTTCAGTAAATTTGTTCAGGGATGAGCCAAAGTTAAAAGTATAAAATCCAGCTGTAAATAAGGAAATAATTGGACTGCCTGCATCAGTTGATGGGAGTCTGTGGCCAGCTGGAAGCTTTTTAAAAATTTATTTTTCATGAAATATTTCATACATTCAAAAATATGCCAAGTGAATGGCTAAGGTATAAAGAATGATTAAGTGAGCATCCATAGGTCCAACCCAGCCTAAGAAATAGCAAATTACTAATTCTGACACAGCCCATGATATCCTTCCCCACCAGTTTTTCTTATTTCCTCCATCCCCACCAAAAATTATGGTTTTTAAAAATACTTTTTTACATATGCATGTAACCCAGAAATACATGCTACTCGTTTTTGTGCATTTGGACTTTATTAAGTAGAATCACTCTCTGTCTGTCCTTTTGTGATCTACTTCCTTTCCTGCACATTTTATTTGTTGTTCTCATCCATGTTGAAGCATGAAGCTGCATTCGGTCACCTGCACCTCTCTATGGTGTGCAAACTATTGATCCATTCTCCCGTCAGTGCACATTTGAATAGACATTTGTGTAAACACAGTATGAATATTTATTTATTTATTTATTTATTTATTTATAGTTTTTTATTTATTTTGAGAGAGAGGGAGAAGGGGAAGGGACAGGGAGAGAGAGAGAGAGAGAGAGAGAGAGAGAGAAAATCCCAAACAGGCTCCTCATTGTCAATGCAGAGCCCGACGCAGGGCTCCCACCCAGGAGTCATGACACCATGACCTGAGCCAAAACCAAGAGTCAAACGCTTAACCAACTAGCCACACAGATGCCCTGAATATTTTTCTACATTATGCACATGTGTAAGAATTTCTCCACATATCTATACCTAATAATGAAATTTTGGTTAATAGGATATGTTTTGTTCAAGTTTAGAAAAGTAATGGCAAAGACTGTTCCTGAGTGGTTGTACTGATCTACATTCTCACATTCTCATCAACACTAATATTGTTCAACTCTGTGAGTATAACGGGTATAAGACACAAATTCGTTGTAGTTTTAATTTGGATGTCTCTGGTTACTAATTAGGCTAAATATTTTCATGTATTTACCAGCATCAGGAATACTTGCTCTGTAGAAGGTCTTTTTCATCTCTTTTGCCCATTTGCTTTGAGGTTTTCTTTTTCTCTGCCTATGATAAACAAAAATAAATATCATGTTAATATAACCAAATTTATTTCCTTTTCTCTCCTAGCTTATATTTTGTGTGAATTGTTTAAACATACTTCCCTACCTGAGGTAAAGATTTTATCCTACATTCTCTTTTAGAAGTTTTAAAATTTTTTCACATTTAAACTTGCAATTCACCGGAACTAGATTTGTTTAGAGTATGCAGCAGAGATCCAATGTCACTTGTTTCCACAGGGATAGCTAATTGCCCCACTCTGACTAAGATGTGAGCTCTGTACAGTCAGGCTTCCATACAGCAGGCTCTGCTCCTGGCTCTTCTTTCCGTTTAGGTGATTCCTTGCTGTAGCCAACCACTGAACTAATGGAAAGCTTGATAGCAAATCTTTATAGCTGGTAGGTCAAATTCCCCTGCAGTTTTCTTTTTTCAAGCTTTTCTTAGCTGTTGGTTCATCCTTTCCTCTTATATACACTTTGATGCTATTCATCAAGTTTCATCAATAATTCAATTGTTATTTTAGCAGATCAATTATGGAAAACCTGATCACCTTATCTAGAAACATGTTGTGTGTCCACTTATTTATGTCTTCTTTAATGTCTTTCAGTAAAATTGTGTGCTTTTCCATGTAAAAGGCAGACATCTTTTGTTACATTTCTTTCTTGGCATATTTTATTTTTTATCTTAAACTGTATTTTAGTTAAATTTAACAACGCTTTATAACTTTTGGTTGATATTGTGCAGCTACACAATTGATCTTATATCTAGCAATCTTGTTAAACTCTCATGAAGTGTGTGTGTGTGTGTGTGTGTGTGTGTGTGTGTACATGTACATAGATTAGGTCCTCCACTTGGACAGATTTCATATCATCTCTTAATAATTCGTTTTGCTTATATCCTTTCAATCCAATATACTTTTACTTCTTTTTCATACCTTACTTCAATGGCTAGAGCCTCTAGTACAATGATGGATAAAAGTTATAACACTTGGCTTCAAATTAATGAGATGAATCAATAACCTTCTTGGACAGGACCCATGCTAACATTCTTGAACTCATTCTGTTGTTAGTGTGTGAGCTGCTGGAGTGAGAGACATCTACACTCTGCTCTCCTGGGTGGCAGCTGGCCCTTCCTGTGTGGTCATGCAGGGACCCAAGGAGATGATTATATAAGTGGGCTCTGCTTTCTGAGGAGGGAAACACTGTTCCCAGGGCAACAAGTTCTAACCATTGGCCAAGAATTAGCCCTTTGACCGTATCTCCCTTGAGCCCACCTCCTTGAATAAAATCTTCATCTCTTAAGCAACCATGGCACTTGTCTGTGTTCTCTTACTTCAACTACCTTGGAAAGTGAGGCAACATTTCCACCACAAAGTGAGCAGCAGGAGATCCCAGGCAAACGGATTGTCAGTCCTCCAGAGGACCAAATTTGCATTAGGTACTAATACATTTGATTATCTTGCTAGCCCCAGATGTGTCACCTTTATTACCTAAGTAACCAAGTGACTTTGCTTAGGCCTTTCAGCATGCAGTCTCTTGCCTTTCCTTCTAAATCCCTATTAGACAAATTGCAATGTCAGCAGCCAGTGACAGATTTTGGTCCATGTTACTTTTTTCTCACTTATTAGAGTGAAATTGAGCATTGCCGTTGAAACTCCAGCTGGTATATAATTTATTGCATAAACTAGAACGCTGAGAATGAAGAGGGTGTGAAACAGGTAAGATGCCTGAATGCAGGTCTAAACCGGAACCATCCTGAAAAACCCGGGGTAGCTAACCATGTGGCTATCCCCCTTTCAAAATGCCATCCCTTTCTCCCACTCCTCTCCCCCACAATGTTTCCTCCCATTGTGTCTCATCCCTTGTTCCTATGTCCGTCAGCTGTCCCCAAGCACCACCCAACCTGCCAGTCCAGCAAACTGTGAGCCACAGCATGGAACGGCTTAAGTACCTTATGAAAGGTCATCTGAAAGAAACTGATTGACCTAAAATGTTGTGTTCCGATCCTCTGTAGTGTTGCAGATAAGGCTCTAATCTTCTCATCTGTACTTTTCTTTCCAAATTACGTTATCCAAATTTCCTGTTACAGTGGATGGCATACATTACTTAATGCACATACACACACATATAACATAAATGATGCATTTGTTCTTGATCAGGGCAATTTGCTGTAAACAGCACCACATCAAGTTGCTCTTGGGGATGTGTTTTGTGCTTTATTGGTGACACTCAGAGGAAAGCATTTCAGTTATTTTTGAAAGAGCATTTAAATCGGCTTCCAGCTTATTCCGCCAACCTGACAGGCCTGCTGGGCAGCTCATCTCCAAAGGCCTCTGCCACAAGCCAGCATCATTCTACACAACAGTTATCACTTATTAATTGCATTTTAATTGGCTTCAACTATTACCGGCTAACAGAAAGAGATCAACAAGTGCAGTAGGTATGAACTTGAAAGAGAGTGAAGTAGGAACTACTCCAATTGAAGAACTGGCTCATCTGAAACAGATAATAGAAGTTCTACAAGCCACATTTCCTGATACTTCAAATAGTCTCCTAATGGTCTCCAGATTTATATTTGCATAAGAAATTTAAAAAATTATCTATGAATAAAGATGGATCTAAAGAGCTGGATTTAAGACCAACACTGATTTTAATCTTGCAGATACATGGAGAATGAGAAATTCCTAAAATAGCAAATGACAATGATAATTGATATTTATTGAACTCCTACCATATGCCAAGTTCTTATCATGTCAAGATCTTGGCAGTTATTATCTCATTTAATCTTCATGTCTCTGTGACATAGGTACTATTGTTATCTCCATTTCACTGATGGAAAAGCTGAATAACCTGCTTGAGGTCATACATAGAGTGGTAGAACTGGGATTGGATTCCAGAGCTGGTGCCCTTATACCCCAGTATACAGTACATCTTGCTGTACATATTCGTTAACTCCCAAATCTCTGATGCTTCCCTTCAGAACCTCTAGCCATTCTGTAGATTCACTCTGCGTGCCTGAGACATGATTTTATCCATGCCCCATGACTATAATAAGATACAAACTTATTTACTCATCCACATATCGATCCATCCACCAAAAATATATACCCCAACAGCTATTCAAAGAAGGGAGGCTCACTTTCAGACTGTGATAATAAAGGAGATTTCACAGGTGAGGCTACAGTTGACCTATTTCTCCCTAAAGTGAGAACAGTAATCTTTCCAAGCTAGAAGAAATAGAAAGTGACAAGAGGCAGAGATCGGAAAGTATAAAGATTGCTTAGGAAATACTGTGGTTCAATGTGGACACAGCATAACACACTGTGATAGGGAATTCATGTGGGAAGGTGGGTTGGGCCAGATCATAGAAGTTATCAGATTAATCCAGGCAACCACACACATCCCAGAAAGACTGATAGTTCCTTGAAGTCAGGAACCATGGCGTTCATCTTTGTGACCCTCTTTCACATACAGAGCATTGCATGGTGTCTAGCTCATTACAGACACTTATAAATATGCTAGCCTTATAAAGGAATAAAGTGTCAGTTTCCCCAAAGCAATATGCCTTTTTAACAAACATAGATCAGAACTTTAAATGAAAGGAGGTACATTCAAGTGGTATAGTGGGGCTCACAAAGAAGATAGAAAAGAATTTAAGAAGTTAGCAGCATCTCACCAGAATTCCTAAAATTGCATGATCTAATAACTAACATTGTGCTTAGGCTATGTGCCAGTCAGTGTGCTCAGTTTTACATTTAGCATCTCATTAGACCTCCACAAGCCTTGTGAATATATACAATTGTTATGCCCAGTGTCCTTTCAGGGAGATTGGGGGCCATTAGTAACATTTGTCATGTTAAACTAAAATGAGTGTGTAATCAGAAATTGTAGAAACCTCTGATTTGGGATTCTCATAAGTCTGACCACTCTTCAAGCCTTGGCAACATTGGCAACCTTCACTTGCATGAATATACACAAAGTTTATATCCCCTCTCTTTAGGGGAACAAGGCTTGTTATTAGGATATAATTAGTGTTGTCTTGATTTATCACAGTTTTCAGCAAATACTATGGTTCCTTTGAATTACTATTACCTGGATTACTAATACATTCTTAGCTTCTTTACTTTTACTTCAATGTTTATGAGTTAATAATTCGAAAATTAGTAATGACTTTTGAGGGGCCTATAATTTTTCAGGAACAAACATGGAAACATTTGAGAATAGTGTTCATTACTTTGTTGTTCTCCAATTTTTGGTTACCACAGAATATTTTTTTATACTAGAAAGTGGGAATGGGTAAGATAAATGGATCAAGGAATCACTTGCTTCACGTAAGCTGGTGTAAAAACAAAACTTACCTAGAAGAAGAGCGGTAAGTAAATGTCGCCCATCATACCCCCCTCTTCCCATGGATGACATCTCTAATCAGATATGGCACTCAGTTTCACTGAGCTAAGATGCAGCTTCAGAATACTTCTTAACCTAGCATTCCAGAAAGCATGTGGGCAAAGGCATGAAATTCTATTTGCCATCTAGAGCTATACTCTAACTCTTTTTTTTAAATTTTTTTAATCTTTGACAAAAATTTTTTTCAACATCATTATTTGGTTTAAGTTATTGTTGTGGTGTGCACACTTAGGACTATCCAACACAACCCACCTCAGCACCCACATAGCCATGTTTAGGCATCATGCTAAGGGCTTTCTTTAGACATCGTCTCACTCAGTTCTCCCAATAACCATATGAGGCAAGGACAACTAATCCCTACTTTATGACAGTTTCAAATTTCAAAAGCAAATCATATTTCCAAGCTACTGACCTGATAGTCCCTAGATCCTGACAACTAGAGGAATCTCTGTCCTTGGACAGAGGAAGGTGTCATTAGAAGAATATTCTAGAAAATCTTCAAATAAATATATCAGTGATCCTGAAGAAATGTGAATGCAGGTGCAATGAACAAAATATATTCATAAAAGATAAGGAGGCTGTGT